ATGGACTTTACTGCAAACTGGAGAAGTGTGCGTTTCACCAGGAGTCCACCTCCTTCCTGGGTTTTACCATCTCCTCCCAGGGCCTGAAGATGGACCCCCAGAAGGTTCAGGCCGTAGCTCAGTGGCCTCTACCCACGACCCTGAAGCAGCTGCAAAGCTTCCTGGGTTTCTCGAACTTTTACCGGAGGTTTATACGCAACTTCAGCTCCCTCGCAGAACCACTGACCTCACTCACCAAAACCACCAATCAGCCTCGCCCTTTTCGCCTTACTCCAGAGGCTGTCCGTGCTTTCCATGAGCTGGTCGGACGTTTCACTAAGGAACCCATCCTCCTCCACCCGGACCAGACCCGGCCCTTCGTCGTGGAGGTGGACGCCTCAGATGTGGGAGCGGGGGCCGTTCTCTCGCAACGGGGTCCAGACTCTAAGCTCCACCCATGTGCCTACTTCTCCCGGAAGTTTTCCCCCACACAGCAGAACTACGGGGTCGGCGACAGAGAGCTGCTGGCAATAAAATGGGCGCTGGAGGAATGGAGGCAGTGGCTCCTGGGGACCACCGATCCCTTTCTGATCTGGACCGACCACCAGAATCTCATTCATCTACAGACTGCCCGCCAGCTCAACCCACGTCAGGCTCGGTGGGCCCTCTTTTTCGAGCCGTACCACTTCCATATCGCCTACCGGCTCGGCTCCAAGAACCTCAAGGCGGACGCTCTCTCTCGGCGTTTCGCACCAGATGCCGCCCCCCCGGAGCCTCGGACCATTCTGCCGACTCAACGCTTCCTGGCCTCCCTCCAATGGCCGTTGGAGCAGTCCATACAGGTGGCACTTCCTGGCGATCCAGCGCCGCCGGAGACCCCACCGAACCGTCTCTACGTTCCCGCCTCCTGCCGGCAAGAGGCGCTCACGTGGGGGCATTGTTCGCGGCTCGCGGGACATCAAGGACAAGCCCGTACCCTCCAGTTCCTCCGTCGGGCTCTCTGGTGGCCGTCCATGAGGAAGGACGTCCGCGAGTTTACAGCTGCATGTGATGTGTGTGCTCGCTCCAAGTCCTCCAACCGACCCGGCGCTGGAGAGTTGCAGCCTCTCCCTGTGCCCAAACGGCCGTGGTCACACATCGGGCTGGACTTTGTCACGGGACTGCTGGTGGTCGACCACCTGGACACTATAATGACTATCACGGACCGTTTCTCCAAGGCCGTGCACTTAGTGGCCCTGGCCGGCCTCCCCACTGCCAAGAGAACGGCCGAACTGCTCCTGGAACAGGTGGTGCGGCTCCATGGTTTCCCTCAGAATGTGGTTTCCGACCGAGGACCCCAGTTCGTCTCACGCTTCTGGAAGGCGTTCTGTCGCCTGGTCGGTGCTTCCACCAGTCTGTCCTCTGGATACCACCCGCAGACAAACGGTCAGACAGAGAGAGCTAACCAGCAGCTTGGACGCTACCTGCGCTGCTTCGCTTCGTCCCAGCCGACCACCTGGCCCCGCTTCCTCCTGTGGGCGGAGCTGTCACACAACCTCCAGACCTCCTCTACCACGAGTCTGTCTCCCTTCGAGACCTGTTACGGTTATCAGCCTCCTCTGTTTGATCATCAGGTGCCCGAGGTGGAGGTCCCTGCTGCCCAGACGCTGGTCCGCTGCTGTCGGCTCGCCTGGATCCGGGCCCGTGCGGCCATCACCCGGACCAACACGGAGTATGCCCGTCAGCATCGCCGCCGCCACCGGCCTGGCCCCGTCTTCCGGTCTGGCGACCAGGTGTGGCTCTCCTCCGCTAACCTGAGGATGCCGGCTGGCTCCCGGAAGCTCACTCCTCGCTTCCTGGGTCCGTTCCCTGTCCTCAAGGTCATCAATCCAGTCACCTGCCGTCCACGCCTCCATGGCTACTCTCCGGATCCACCCGGTCTTTCACGTCTCCCAGCTTAAGCCGGTGATCTCCTCTCCTCTCCACCCTCCACCGGTCCGGGTGCCTCCGCCCCGCGGTGTTGAGGTGGATCGCACCTACACGGTCCGCAGGATACTGGACGCCCGCCGCCGGAGACGAGGTTGGCAGTACCTCGTGGACTGGGAGGGGTACGGGCCTGAGGAACGCTCTTGGGAGCCTACGAGCTCGTTTGTCGATCCTGCCCTGCTAACAGACTTCTGGGCCCGCCGTCCTGGGACTTCGGGTGCCGTCCCTAGAGGGGGGGGGTCCTGTCACGAACTCCTCCAGCTGACTGCATTCCATTCATTCCTGCCACTAACGTGGCGACTGACGTCATCACGCCGACACTACTTAAGGAAGTGCCGGCGTTTCATTCATTGCTCAGTCATCGTTCTCACCAGACTTTGCATCGAGTCTCCAGGCTTACCAGCCCTCTAAACCCTCAAGCTACACCTACAGGAAATAACCACGCCGGTTATCTCCGTCTCTCCGCGTCTGGGCAACAGAACTCTCAGTCACGCTTCAGATCTGCCAACGAACCTGACACTTTTTACCCACTAGCTGCGCTACTTTTTTTTTTTTTTTTGGTACTCAGATTAAACATGTTTTGTGGTTGGTTCCTAATTTTGGGATTTCCTGAGCTTGTTGGTGATGCCTGGAGTAACCTTTGGGCTTCGGGAATGTTGTCACATTGGGACATTGGTGCTGAAGCTGTGGCTTGTCCCGCAGTCACAGCCCCTTCCAGTTTCCCTGCTTCTGGGCTCCCCTTACTTTACATCCTTTTGCCCACTGGGAGTTACTGCCACACTTAAAGCAATGGTCGCAGTCCCTGTTTTCTTGTTGACATGCAGCGCACCACCTTTTTGGTCTCTGGGCTGACTTTCTGTATGTCTTAGTTTGCCCATCAGAGTCACTCGACCTATCCCGTTGAACAGTTTGTACAAGTGAAGCTACCTGTCCTGTAAGTTCCCTGATTGCTAAATTACTTTCTTCCATTTTTGCAAATAAGGAGTTGTCTTTGACTGGTTTAGCTGGCTTTGTGTCGGGTTGGCTTGTACAAGGATCAGAATGTGCAACATTCTGCTCAACTACATTTAGTCCTGTTCTAAATGATGACCTGTGGGCTTTTGCCTTTAAAGCCCTTTCGCTTTCATTGTACTGTGCTGTTTGCATTTTCATTAACAAGAGTTCATCACTGCTGTTTTCATCCTGTAAATACAATCTCATTTCTGCTCTGACATTATCATTTAGTAGTCCCGTTCTAATAGACTGAAAACATTGACTTTGAACAAGTTCTTTGTTGTACCTTAGGCTGGACTGGGCACGCTCAGATGCAAAAAGGATTTTTTGACGTAAGTCCAGGACTCTAATCAGGAACTCAAGTGGTGTTTCATTCGCCCCCTGGGTAGCCTTGGTAAACTGCTGATACAGTACTGTTGCATCCGTTTCTGCATAATGGGCTTTTAGAACTTGTCTCAAACTGGTCAGTATGAGGTTTTCCTTCCCCTCCAAGTAGCTCCTTAGCTTTAACCCAGGACTGATGGCACGCACTACAGCCTCCACGATCTCAGCTTCAGAGTAGCCCTTCTTCAATCCGCTTTCCATCTGGTGCTCCAAGCTGCTGAAGCTCAGTGTGTCTTTAGCTGTTGACTCACCCACATGGCCACTTATCCTGAAGTCTTTTCTGAATCCCACTGATGAAACGTTGCAGCCGCTGTTGCCCATGGAGTCTCTCCCTCTGCGCTGTGTTTCACTGTCTCGCGAGGTCATCATGGCCACCTGCTGCTCCGCTGCTGTCCCTTGAGCTGGCTGATGCTCCAGCGTTGTCATCAGACCTGGCTGCCGCTCCAACAGCGCCCCCTCTGCTGCGAGTCGCCCCTCATACACAGCCTCTGCCGTCATTCCCGCTCCGTCTGAAGATAACGCCTGGGCCACCGCTCCCGCGCTGATAGCCGCTGACCGTGCCTCCACCAGCGAAACCAGCTCATCATTTAGCTCCAGAAGCACCGACATGCCTTCATCCTCCCGCTGCAATAAATCTTCTCGTTCACAGAATTGGATAATAAGCTTAACGAGAGCTCTGCGGGTTTTACTCTTAATTTCTTCATCTATTTTTTTCTGTAATATCACACAGTTCACATACTCTGAGCAGCTCTTCCACAGATAGTCCACATAACTTCTGGTCTAACTCCAACAAAAAAATCTTCACGGTCCTCAGACATGCTTGAACGACAAATAAGACGAAAAAAAAACTCTTACAGTGTATCCGACCGGAGAAGCACACTTTGCGTCGTGCTAGCTAGACTGTTGCTCTTCGTTAGCATTAGCCTCCTTTTTCTGGCACGTTCCGTTACCGTGTCTCTCTGCAGTCTTCCAATCCACTATATGAGGTAGTCCCTAAAAGCGATCTCGGTGGTACCTCCAAAATGTTACACCACTCCAGGACAACTTGGTGTAGAAAAACCGAGTTTTATTGGGGACCTCAGAACCATGGCATCGTCATACAGATCCAAGCATGTTAGAGCCTTTTTTCTTCTTTTTCCCCCCATTCCTTTCTGCACTGTAACTGCCCTCTACTGGTGAAAATGTGTAACAGCTTAACCAGAAACAAACATAGCTTACTTACTTTTCAACTCTCAACAGGTTTATGCAATGTTTCAGACATTTTATCTGTACACTTTACCAAGTGCTACACACACACACAGGTAGTTCTAATAACACCTGAGCACCTGAGACTGATGCATCAGTGTTACAGCGGGACTAAACACATGATCAGAAACAGGTTATAGCTGGATGATCTAGGAAGGTAGAAGATTGTGACATCTGATTGGTGAACAGGTGAGAGGAACTTAGGGACGTCCCGCTGTCACGCTAAGAAGGGCACGGCTGCAGATCCACACCTGCAGCCGTAGACTTTTCATCACGTCTTCCTCGTTCTTCACGGCCGTGATGCACTTGGATGAAAACATCTGCCTCTTTGGCTCCTGATCAGCTGATGACGGCTTCAACACACCGCGCTGCTTAACGCACGCATTTCCTTATCAGTAACAGAAACAATGTTTTGTTAAAAGAAGACGTAATTAATTAGTTTTCTCGTTACAGAAAGAAATTTTTTTTTATTAACGCTGTTATTTTAAACTGCGTTATTCCCATCACTGCTCTGTTGTGTCTACAGCAGGCAGCGACTGAGACAGTGAGAACACTGAGGGTCTCCGCCCACCTGGCCAATCATCATGGTGTTTGTAAGTGCGTTACCGACACCTCTCTCTCCCTGGCTGCAGCTGAAGTGTGGCGGTCAGAAAGCCTCACACTGTTGCTCAACGTTCGACAAGCACATAGTAACGCACAACCTTCCGCCCCCAGTAACGGTAACGGCGTTGCAACAGTGGGAAAAGTAATTGTTATAGTGATCCTGTTTCTCTTTATTATTGTTTGAATGCTGCAAAGCATTCAAATTATTGTTTCCCTGTTTCTCTTTATTCTCTTTTATTATTATTCTGCTTCCGTACGTTTTTTGGCATTTAACTACTTCCACAACTATTCAACTATTTACACCATTTTGGTATCAAAATGTTCAGCTCGTTCAGCTTATGCCGGCAATGACTTTAGGTATTAAAATATTTTATAGTTTTTGAGATATTCAGCTTTTTCTGCGATTTTTGGTCCCATTGAAATGAATGGGATTGCTTAATTTTCAGCTAAATCCTATCACTTGTTTGAACTCTTACTCTTATAGGTTAACTTTAATCTAGAGACTTCATTCAAGTTTCAACAAACTCACAAGTCTTTCAGCTGTTAATGGTTAAAAAATCTTTTACATATCTATTACAGTTTTTCTAAAATCACAGGTAGAAGTTGAGGTACGGCTTGAGATTTTCAGAAAAAATCTCAAAAATTATAATGGGCAGAGATAGGAGCAATGACCCTCCTTTGCTCCATTTCTGGCATTGTCCTGAGAAAACCATAAGTTCGATTGAAATGAGACGCATGCTGGCTTGCAGCTGATGGATATACCTTCGATTTGAGCTATAAATCATGAATGTACCCCAAACATTGTGGTCGTACGGTTCATTTGTTGGAGAATATTTAAATTTAAAAAAATGTCTCTCACCCCTCTAAACTGAAAATTCTGCACTCTAACTTTTGACCTTCACATTTCCTGGAAACAACTCTTTCCAACACCCAGACCGTTTGGAGTACCGAAACAAGTTATATCTCAAAAGGTAGGAATTTTTGTCACCTTTTCAGAATGGGTTTCATTTTATCTGTAAGTGTTACGGTTCTTTCTCTACAAGCCTCAGAAGGAGGAGAGACCCTGATTCGGTCCCATTGAAACCCATGTTAAAGGAACAGAGATTTTCTCCTCCCATCGGCTTCAGACAGCTAAAATGTTCTCATCATAGCTTCTAGACAATTCATGGTAGGCACAGAAAAATTCACACAGATGACCATCAAAGCCTTCTGCCACTCAAGCTTTTTGAATTTTTCCAATAGGTGCAGTGGTTTTTGAATGGCGATGAGACGTTTCAGAGGTCTGAAATAACATCTGAGCTCTGTTAAATGCATGATTTATGAAATCTTGAAACAAAAATTTCCATCGACCACATTTTTTATAGTACACTAAAGATTTTCTCAAATTTAGTAGTTTTTTTTTCAGCTTCAAAGTGATGTCTTCGGTTTTGCTGTTGGTATTACATTATTTGTGCTACAAGCCCCAGAACGAGGACTGTGCCAGCTTTCCTCCATTTAAACCCCTTTAAAAAAAGGCACATGTGGCCGACAGACAGCTGAGATGTTCTCCTCATATCTTCTAGAACATTTGTGGTAGGCACACAAGACTCCACTCACATGACCACCAAAGCCTTCTGGCACCCACGCATTTTGAATTTTTCAAATCGGTGCAGTACTTTTCGAATGGTGATGAGAAGTTTGACAGGTCCAGTTTCACTTCTGAAGGACAGATTTAAAGGCTTCTCTCATTAGTAGCTCTTTTCCATCGCCTGGTCTGGGACGGTCAGGTCTGGGTATTATGGACCGGTATGTACCGGTATGGGTCTAGAAGTTTTCTGGCAAGCGTTTCTATCACATTCCAGGCTCCAGTAACTAGGCGGGGTAGCGTAATGCGTCACGCGCGATGTGTGCCTTAACGTCACACAGCGCGACGAGATCGCGCCAAAACACAACAACAATGGAGTCCAGTCACCAGCGCGTTCTTTCTGTTCTTGGTGTTTGGTATATTCTTTACACCCACATCACGATAGCGTTTAGAGCTATGCTGTGCGCATCGAGGAGGAGGGCAGCTGAAAGGCGACGACGCTTTCTGAAATTAATATCGGACACGAGGCATAACTTTCTACTGTTGAGACAAAGACGGAGGCGCCAGGTGGTAAGTAACTTCTAATGCTGTAATACATGTCGTTATAATCTCTGAAGGGGTGTCTAGGGCAACTATCAAAAAACAAAAAAAAAAAAAAGCACCAAAATCAAATGGTTTGGTTGTATATTGGTCATTTAAGACATGCTAAACATGAAAGGCCAACACCTAACTAAGTTTCAAACAGCTTCTGCACTCATGGTGATGCTAGTCAACAGGAGGGCCTGAATCCTTCACTCTTTACTTCCTGGGCATGTCATAGATAAGTTGTGCAGCTGTACTGAAATTATTATAATTAATTATATAGGTAATTACAAGCAATACCACATTTGTGCATTTTATAAAGTGAACAAAACATAACCAGTCACTGGTAGTGCCATAAAGAACAGCTGTTATTTTAACCTTAAACAAATTCTATTGATGTGAACTTTATGTCTATAACCATACTGTTTCAATCTTTTTCACAGCACTATTCTTTTTACTTTTACTGTGTTATGACTGTTTTTTTTTTAGTTGGCTCTTTTGAATCAGCGACGGCAACCAACTGTGTGGGCCTTCAGCCGTGCCAGCGCCTTCTGGGATGTGACCATGCCAAACTTCACTCCGTCAGATTGGATAGCTCATTTCAGAATGTCAGAAGAGACCTTTTCATATCTTTGTTCCAAGCTCCGTCCAGCCATGCAGAAGAGGAACACCAACTTCAGAGCCTGTGTGCCACTCAGGAAAAGAGTTGCAATTGCACTGTGGAAGCTTGCAACTAACAGTGAATACAGGAGCATCGGGCTTCTTTTTGGTGTCAGCACGACCTCTGTGTGCCGCTGTGTGCAGGACTTCTGTAAGGCTGTCTGTAAACTTTTGCTTGCCGAGGTTATTGCTTTTCCAACTCTGCAAAAGCTACAGGAAATGGCTGACTATTTTGAGACCAGGTGGGGGGTTCCTCAGTGTGTGGGTGCCATCGATGGTTCCCATATCCCAATAATCGCACCACAGGGATTCCACACAGACTACTTCAATAGGAAAGGTTGGCATTCCATAATCCTCCAGGGCATTGTGGATGGCAGAGGCATGTTCTGGAATGTTAATGCAGGTCAGCCAGGTAGCTTGCATGATGCCCGTGTGCTGCGATTGTCCACATTTTGGGACTTGGTTGCTCATGGACAACTGCACCCAACTAGTACCAAGAACATTGAGGGAGTAAATGTAGGCTTTTATGTGCTCGGGGACTCTGCCTATCCTCTGCAGAACTGGCTCCTAAAACCATTTTCTGACAACGGTCGTCTCACTGCTGAACAACAGGCGTACAACAGGAAAACGTCCAGAGCCAGAGTTGTGGTCGAAAATGCATTTGGGAGGCTAAAGGGTAGGTGGCGATGTCTTCTGAAGAGAAACGACAGTGATGTAGAGCTTCTTAAACACATGGTGCTGACCTGTTGTGTGCTTCACAATATCTGTGAGAGCCATGGGGAGGAATATACAGAATGCGACGCACCTGCTGATGAACCAGTGGTTGCAAATATGCAGGAAGTTGCAGAGGAGGGCAGTGATGTGCGTGAAGCTCTGATGCGACACTTCACCCGCTGACCTCAGTTTGTGTTTTTTCTTTCCATTTACTTTGTTTATTGTTTTGACACTTTTAACTGTTCGAAGCCTGTAGTTTGAACTGAAATGTTTGTTTTATTTTCAGAACTTAATAAAGTACACTATTTTACTGTTAACGAACTGTTGCACCTTTTCATTTTAACATACTGTATATTTAAGGTGGGCTGTAATGTAATCTACATTTATTATGTAAACGTAAATTTGCGAGCAAAAATTTTTAAGACAATTCATGCACACCTTGTTTTTCTTTGAAAATGTATTGATAAAAAGGACAGACGGATAAAAAAAATTACGGGACAAATACATAGCACCTTACTGCCTGGGTGGTGGCAGGAAGTCAGAGGAGCTGCCCATTCTTTGTGCGACCAGTCCAAGAACAGCATTTAGGGCACCCAAATGTTCAAAATATCGCTCTGCGATCTGTAATTCATGTTGTCTTGATGCTGCTGCGTCTTGTTGCATCCAGTTAACCTGCTCCCGGCTTATGCCTTCCATTCTGTCCATCTGCCTGCCATCTGCGATCTGCAACTCATCAAATATCACCTGAGTCCGTGCTTCCAATCGCCGTCTTCGGTCACCTGGAAACAACAACATTGACAATTACATTTGTGTTTATATGGATATCAAAATGTCAGTTGTCCTGTGAACTTGTCAGTTTTGTTTATGCACAAAGCAATTTTTAGAATGGTCAGACACTACCTGTGCGTCGACGACATGGTAGATGTTCCTCTCGAGTGGTAGTGGACAGAGGTGATGGTGGTGGCGATGGAACTGGCCGAGGCGATGGTGGCACAGAAGGTACGGACAGAGGTGATGGTGGCACAGAAGGTCCTGGAGTGCTACTTGAGGAAGTGGATGGTTCCTCTGAAGAGGGAGTGTTTTCCGCTTCAGATGTGTCTGAAAAACACAGATCAAAAAATTAGTCAGTAAGAAAAGGTCACGAAATAAATCGGTAAGAAAAGCACAATATTTTTACAGCAAAAGAGCATATAGGCATATAGTAAACTTAATAAAACTGCTATGATTTAAGGCCATTTTGTCATTTGGAACGTGTCCACTAGATGGCAGTAATTCGCCAGTGACGTACAGATTAATTGCAATTTAATGTTATATTCTTATTCATCCGAAAAATATATACTTGTTAAAAGTCCACTCTAGGCGAAAAACACTGTTGGCACGACTTTTGGGATATTTATAATATTAGATCAGCTCGCTTCTTCTCACTGTGCGTGCTCAGCTGTATAAATCAATGAGATGCTAACAACACTGAGATGCTAACGTGAAAGGCTAACCGAATTTCCCATGTTTTAAACAATGAGACGCTAACAAGAAAGGCAAACTCCGCTCCAGCCTCATGTACTCAACAAGGACATGCTAAACATGAAAGGCTTATATCGCGAACAGCGTGTTAAGAAACACGGGGGAATGCTAAATGAAGGTTAGCATAAACACGAGGGGATGCTAAGGCTAGTTAACATGAGGGGCTAAATCCTTTACTTGCTGAGCATTTCTTAAATAGCTGCTGCTATTATTCAGTGTTTTTGGTGCTGCAATGAATGGCCTGCAGAGCTAAAAAGACAACAAAAGAAATGCTTACCAACAGGGTTTATGAGTGACTCCAGGATACTGGTCGCTGAGTCCAGGCCTCCTTCGCTGCCTCGGTTTGACGGTCTGTGTCCATAAATAGCGTCCACCACATCGTACCACTTCCATGTACTTCGCCCATTCCCACTACGGCCGTTGCTGTCCTTAACTTTTCTGTAGTGGGCTTTTATTTTTTTCAGCTTAGCACGACACTGCTCGGAGGTGCGCTGGAATCCTTCAGCTGCCATGCGCTGAGAAACTTCTTTGAAGACTTTCTCATTTCTTATCATCCCATCCAGCTCGGCCTGAATGTTGCTATCTCCGATGATGGTGAGGAACGTTTGAAGCTCCGCATTGGACCAATAGCTATTACTTGCAGGCATTTTCACACACAAGAAGTACAGCCAAACAAACACTGGAACTCGACTCACTTCTTTTTCCATCCCCTGGGATTGTCGCGGGTAGTTACGTAATTTCTCCCCCAATCAGAGGACTCTGGACCTTTTACGCTTTGGCTCCGCCCAGACCAAAAATCTCTGGACCCACAACAGAAAGGGTCCCGCTCTGGCCCGCTACTGGACCGGTTCGGGTAGTTTCCTGGACTGGTTTAAACAATCGAAACAGAATATTTAGTGACCCGATCCTTCCCATTCCATGCCAGTTTGGTCGGTGGAAAAGGCCTATAACAGGACTACAGCTGCAGGGCTCCAACAGCCAGGGGTAAAGGCGGGAAAACAGTGCTGCTCTCTGACTGGTTGAGAGTGTTCAACCATTTTCTGACCAATCAGGATCCAGCACCCACACATATGACACATCAAATTGACCAACTTGGTCTCAGGAATCTTGTATTCAATTTTAAATGCATTATCTGTTACCATGGTAACACAAGTGCATAAGTATATCCCCAAACAAGTCTTATTGAAATGAATGTGAAAAGCCTAATATTGAGCCTATAACATACTGCTGTTTCTTATCTTTCTGAGCTCTATACACTTAAAACTAGCAGCATAGCTGACATTTTAACACTAGTCAGAAGGCAGGAACCGCCCCCTCCTCCTTCGCTGGTCTCTCATTGGCTGAGAGTTTTCAATCGTCTTCTGCCTAAAAGGAAATATGCACCCACACATATCATGCATCAATTCAGCCTGCTTGGTCCCAGGAGTCTTGTATTAACTTGATATTGTGTTCTGCATTACCATGGCAACGTGGTTAGCAACAACATTTAACAACATTTTAGACACAACTTTGTCAACATACTTTAATATAGAAATGTTATTCAAAGTTTAAAAAAGTCATGTGACATTGTGTATTGCTTTATTAAAGCAGACTCCTGTCATCTGTTACCATGGCAACACAAGGAACTACAAATCACTTTAAAGAGCATGTCACCCCCAAATAAACAGTATTTTTGCTGATAAACTAAATAAACGAGTGTCTAATCGTGCTGCAGACACGTGTCGTCAATAATTTGGCACTTCAGTGCATCTTAGTTAAAATTTAAATATTCTGCCTAAAACTGGCAGTGTTGTGCTGTCGTCAGGTAAAAACTCTGCACTGTATTTGAATTTAAATCTGCCACCGCTATTGGCTAACAGGTATGTTATGATGTAAACTGGTACATTATGATGCCACAATGCTGTCGTGAGCCTGTGTGTGTGTTTATTTGTTAGCAGCTCCGCCCTCTTGGTCTGCCAGGCAACAGCATTTGTTGCATTTTTCAAACATGAAGTGGGAGTGGAGTTAGAATCTGGTAGGGGGTGACTTGCTCTTTAACCAAGTCTCATAGGAATAAATATAAAAAGCTGAATATTGAGCCAATAACAGACTCATGTTTTTGATATTTTTGAACTATCTGTACTTAAAACTAGAAACAAGTTAAATTTGATTGACCGTCAGAAGGTGGGAAAGTGCCGCGCTCCCACCCAGCCCCCTGATTGGTTGAGAGAGGTCAATCATCTTCTGGCTAAATGGAATTACACACCCACGCATGTGAGACATCAAATTGATCGGCTTGGCCTAAGGAATCCATCCATCCACATATAAATCCATACATGCTTCTGTGGGCATTCTCTGTTATTCTTAAAGAAGGACTCGGAGACGGGCAACTCAGTCAGACAGCGCGGGTCTCTTTATTCATTCATCTCACAGCTCAGGACAGCCAACTACAAAAGACCTCGACCAAATGTGGAGTCCTAAATTTATACTTTTTGTCCCTGGGTTACTTCCACAGTCCTTTGATAAAAGTGGAGAGAGGATGGGGTGATGTTTACACTTCTCAATATGGTCGACGCACCCTCCAGCCCAGAGGTCGACGAGCCCTGTTATCCCAATATGATCCGAGGGCTCAAGGTTTACTGGAGCTGGTTTACATAAGTTGGACTGAAACACAGAACACAGCTTTTGGCTCCTACAGTCTCAGTAAGTTTTTAACCTAAGGACTCATAATTCAACTCAATATATGTTGTAGATGACCTCTTGACCTTTTTGGCGACAACAGTCCTCCCTTTGGCGGACTTGTGCGCCACACATTACCATCGTAAACGAATTAGCAATGTAGGGTATATCAATAAATGAATGCTTAACTAAGTAACAGAAGAAATGGGCAGCAAATAATGATAATGTAACAAAATGACAAAAAATGGAAACAAAAGGGTATAACATATGACCTTGAATCAAAAATGCATAAAGTACTCATGCCAAAACACGAGATGATGTTCCAGAATAACACAGCAACTTCAACATGTATATGTAATGAACAATGATTAAGACACTGAAAAAACAACCGATGAGTTTACAGCTGAGACATTGAAAAACTGTGAAACAATACATGAAACATGATTTTAGCATTAACTGAACTCATTACTTCACGAATGTATTGCATGCACACCCCGTAAGGAGGCGAAAAACCCTGTCCGCTGTACTTTAACAGGGAAAATTCCCCCATGTCCTCCCCGACCCCAGGGGACGAACGCCTGCAGCACAGAGCGGGCATGCGAGGACTAGCTTGAGGACATCAGGTGACAAATATCCTCATCAGTGGTCAAAAGAAAGAACACACAAAACAACAAAGGCACATTACAATAAACAGGTGACAAATATGATGAATAATGAACAATTAGCTTTAGCGAAGACATAATGAAACAGTAACAAATCCAGTTGAAGATTTCATTCAAAAGAATAAAACGGAAAATACAAGTTCAGCATCTGTGTCGTCGTTTGGAGGTCTTCTGCTTGAGGAGGGCTTTATGTGGACAAGTGTCCTTTATTTGTCAGCAAAGCAAAGGCATAAGTCCTTGGCTCAGTCCTCCCTTTGTCCATCTGCGTGCAGCGTGGTGGTGCCGGCTTCATCCTCCCCACAGCGAGCAAAACACAACATGTCAACAAGAAAAACTCGAATTAGCACGCCAATTGCCTATAAAACTATTACCACAAAAACTTTCTAAATTTTAGACCCATAGACAAAGCATCCATCCCCACATTCACACCCCCTTTCTAACCTACCCACTTATCCTAAATTAAAGAGCTAATTCGGCAGTAAGGCATGCAATGATTTACTCAAGCATTTATGGGTTAACGGTAAAAGCAAAACTCACCTGATTACCCTGATAACCAGGAGTAATGTAAATGGCCGCTCGGTAAAACGACCAGAAATAAGTCCTTAAAACCAAATTAAAATCATTCAGCAAATCCGACCTAAACTCAACCAGAATCACCTATTCTGTCCCTTATCCTTCGAAACCACATTCAAAACCCTTCATGCAACATCCACACACCCTCAAAAATGAACACATGCTAATCCATCACAATAAGAAAACACTATTCAAAACATGACATCCAGCACCCACCAGAAGATCTGTTGCACCTGAAACGGAGTAGTAACAGTCATGGTTACGTTATCACATTAAGTTAAAGAATTTTGACACAAACGGGAACAAAATGTTGTGAAACCTAAGATTATACGGTAAACTCACACGTTGAGTCGCCTATCATCTGTAATTCTGAATCCTCTGCACACGAGGAATTAATCTGTAGCATTATGATCTATAACTTTGTCATTAATGTGCTCTAAGCACTAACCAGAAACATGTCAGTTCTGGGCTCACTATTGGTAGTTTACCTGGAACACACACATGCTATATTCTGTTAGGATTTATCTCTTTATAATCTCAGATCTACCTGGCCCTTCTGGCCCACCCAAAAGCTTTACGTACACCTTAAAACTATGACCCCATTTGCAGTAACCTCCCCTCAGACCATTAAAACAATACCAGTACTACTCAGGAACTAATTCAAAGTCGTAAAACTGGAACAAAAGTAAGCAAACATCAGCTAAGTGACACAGCCATTGTATGGTTATTATGCTAGTAAAGTCCTGTCATCTGCAGGTGTGACTGTAATGGTGTGAATGCAGGTATGGAAACCAGTCTAGGGTGTAGAGTAGTTGCATTTTACTCATCTTCCATTGTGAACAATTCCTCTATTGGTGTCGCGGTCGTCAGATGGCCTATAAAACGATGATACATTGTGGTGATGTCTTTTTCCTCTTGTTATGCTCGTCCATTGGTTATCCTCTTCACCTCCTCCAGCAGAAACCCCGTTGTAATTTATCAGGGATGGTTCCTAGCAGCATTCAAGACAATAACCGTCATAAAACTCAGCAAACTTCTTCTTATGTTAGTTAATCTAGTCCCAGTAAGGTGAGAAGCAACACTATCCTTTAGTCCTCGTCTCAGGTATCGACGTGAGTTCATGACAGTCCAATCTTCATCTTTTTCCATCCTCTCCCTTGGTCACCGTGCAACACCAGGAAGACTCGCACTCTGGCCGGACCAGACGTCCCCCGAACCGATCGCCTAGGGATTAAAGGTTATGCACAAAAATGTCCTAACTCTTACTGACCCTAGCCTCTGATACCTTCAACATCAGACACATACAGTTACAAACAGCAAGCGCAATTAAAGGTACAGTGACATCACGGCATGGACACACACGGACACACAAACACATACACATGCACATACACAGAGAGAGAGAGAGAGAGAGAGAGAGAGAGAGAGAGAGAGAGAGAGTAAGAATGTGTGTGTGGGAGGAAGAAATGAGTGGGATCCACTTCGCCACCAGCATCTTCACCTGTGTCACAGAGAAAAATTGCAAAGAGATTAAAACATAAAGCAAACAACAATAATTCAGTGAGTATAAATGATTCAACTAAAATATACAACCATGCATGGGTTTCAAAACAGTTCCAGTAACACTGGAGATGATGCCTTGTACAATGAATTCTTAAGATGGTCTTCACCAATTAGAGATTATAACCGAATTGTTTCAGGATCCTGAATTTGAATTTGAATTGGTTAATTTACTCAGAATAGTCCAATGGCTTTGTTGATGTTTCTCAAGGCTTGGCCACGCCCATATGAATAAATGAACAAACAAACAAAACAAACACAGTCAAACACACGGTCCATACACGTCTCTGTGCCCTCACACACCAAGCAAATGTCAGACTGAAGCAAAAGTGTGAAATTCCTCAAGTAGGCATGCATGTTAGTAATTACATCGAGAGCTTCCTTCCACTTCTTAAACATCTAGATTATTTCTGGAAAATGCTCAAACTGCAAGAGCGGGACGCGCACAACTAAACTACTTATTCTCTCAAGTCTGTGTCTCCGCTTGGTTTAAATGAGCCACTTAACCGAACACTAAACCAGTGGAAAGAAAAAATAAGACCTAAAGCGTGTGATCAAATTAATCCAACAAAACTTCCCATAACTATTGTTCTGTACTCATGTTGCGGTGTGATCTCTCCAATTAGAAATTAGGATAACCACTTTACTATCAATTCAACAAAATAGTTTCAGGTTTTCCAATGTCCCTTACTATTCACCCCAATTATGAACCTCAAAGCAGAAATCATGATGAGCAAATGTTATTCCCTAACCAGATTTAAATTCACAATCTCCAGACGCCCAAACTACCTTTCTTTCTTACCTTCTTTCTTATTTTCTTTCCTTTTTCCTTTAAGAACCTCACTAGCACAAGAAATCCTAAGAATTAATTCACTACTTAAGGTTAATTCATAAATAACGAAACTGCAGTTATCGGGTTGTTTGTATATATATGCTGGTCAAACCACGAATTACTTAAAGCCAAACATCCTAAAACCCTAGTATTGTCAGTAGTTTCCCTTATCTACTCGTTTAGATGTGTGTTTCTGTTCTACTTCTCCATCTATAACACAAATTAGCATCATCCTTAAAGCATCTGAAATTAAGCTGCATTGCTACACCAATAACGTGATTTGTGCTAAGAGATACTCCCCTATCCTCTTCCTTTTTCCAGTGGCACTGATTCCATGACAGATTTAGAACAATTTAACGTTTTATTACTCTTACGTTTCATTTAATTAATTTTCCTTTTTCTCCCTTATTTTTATTTATTTATTTATTTATTTACCATGCCATCCTGTGATGATAAACTTAAAGACTTTTTTTTTCTTTAGCCAATTGTCGTCCTACCTCTTGTGATACACTGGTTCCTATAAAACATCAGACATCCAAACACCTCTGTCCCTTTTACCCAACCAAACTAAGGAGACAGATTATTGTTATGTTCTCATTATCCCAGCATGACTAACCATTGATGAGGCTCTTTTGTAATGTACCTGATGAATGTAGAGTGATTTTATGGGTGTTGCCCTACACTTTTCACACAGTAAATCAGTAACGACAGTATTGGTGAACAGTATAATGTATATAATGCTTTCAGAATAAAAATGCTTCGCGCCTTTCTCATCCCTCCTACAATTTTACTTTATCTATGTCTTTACATATTTCATGTGGGGTTTCCAGCAGAGCTCATGGCCATGCATTAGTCCCTAAAAGTATTATTTCTCCCAGTTTAATTTCTTTTAATAATTTTTCCCTACACTCTTTTTACTGTGATATTGTTTTATATTTATTTTTTATTTTTGTTTTCCTCTCACCGACACATCCACATCTATTTTCCTCCAATTCCCATGCAGCATGAATATAGCTTTGTTTACCTTCAGTGACATCTAATTTAAGTCAAACCAAAATCTCAGTTTGGCCAATTTCGCCTGTAGCCAAATCCAAATGTTCTCGCAACGTCACTCCCGCAAAAGGCCAATTAAAAATGTTATGTTAAAGATTTCACAAGATGAAAAAATGTGAACATAATTTTTCAAACATAGAGAAACTTGACACTTGCGGTTTTCCAAATCTTAAATCATACTTACAATAAAGATTATATTGACATCCAATGGTGAGTTGGACCAGGTTACCAATCCTATTTTTTAAGGCTAACTTTTTCAGTTAACTATGTTCTGCAGTAGTTTAGTAAATTTTTCACAATTCTGACATTTCACCAAGTCAACTGATCGTTGCCAAAAAGCCTTTCATTACCTAACTGCAGCAAACACTCTTTCACTGGGTGGGACCCTTTGAGCATCTGTTTGTAAGTTCAGTATGACCCCAGTCATTGATTAAAGTTCACATGTTGGCACACATGCTCCTCCCCTTTGTCCCTGTCTCATCTTGCATCAGGGCAAACAAGCGCCTGTCTCACAGTGTCCATCTCGTAGTGCTGCCCCATCTCAATGTTATAATTCACAGCTTGTGGTGGGGACTTCCTGCTCCGTTTGTGTAGAGCCAGATCCAGGAGACTTTCATTTGCAGCTGGTTTCAAATGTGACGGGCCGACCCAGTAAATCTCATGCCACCACAGTTAACAGCAAAAGTCTTCCTTAAATATGTTGATTGGGTTGAAATGACAGAACTTTCTCTTTTACAAATCACCGATGGCTTCTAATAATTAGTCGACTTTACTGACTCAAAGGTAAATCTAGACTACTTCCTAGGCACAGTTGTCCTTAAAATCAGTTCCAAACAGGTTTTAATCATTAGGCACAGTCTAACCCAAAATGCAAGATCCCTCCTTTCATTTTTTATTTATCTATCTTATTTTGGGAAAATAACTACCAGTTTTAATTCAAAACAGCCTGGTACAGTTTGTAGCCAGGTTACAGGAAATAATAGTTAGTTTATCTGTTTTTCCATTATTCAGCGTCTCAAAATCCAGCCACTAATGTTAATGATTCTTAAAGTTCAGGCAAGACAATTATTGGATTTTATTTCTATAGCAAGATTTACAGCAATAGTTTTACAAAACAGTTATAAGTGGGTGTAACTAAACAATCTGGCACAAATATTTTATTTCCTGACTGATTATTTCTTAATTTTATGGTTCGATAATAAATGATTCTAAGAATCAGAGTGCCGCGCTCTTCTGCTGCTCCCTGTGCTATTTTTAGACTGTAGAGGTCTTGTGTGTAAAGGTGGGCGGAGTCAGGCCCTCAGGCTGACTCTCCAGCCCCCATACCCTCTCCGACCGTCCAGGAGACAGGACCCTCACATGCAGGCCACCCGTGGACTAAGAAGGTATGTCCAAAACACTAGAAGTTATCTTTTCTAAAGTCACAAATTGCTTAAACCTGCATGTTACAGAAAGCAAGCCAGCCTTGGTTTCACCATGTGTGTGTGTGCAGGCAGGAGAAAAAGAGAGATAGAGAGAGAGACACTCCAGTTACAGAAAAGCAAACATAGATAAATGAGAGAGGGAGTCCAGAGTCCAGTTTCAGCCCTCACGGCTCAAAAGCAGATAAAATACCTTCTTTGTATGACCACAACCATGCAACTTTTATATTTTAAACGATTTTCTTGTCATCGCACTAACTATAAATTCTTTTTCTATTGTTTTTCAGTAGGGCAAAGCCTGGACCACACCCTGTTTTTTCCAGCAGCTCTCTCTATTAAACACTGCATCATTCAACAGAAGATCCAGCCAAAGCAGCATTTACTTCTCATGCAAGAAAACACACATCCATTCACTCACAAAGGCACAAACAACATTTTTTCAGTTTGTCACAGTCTTTTAAACAAAAGTAAGTCAGTCCGTCACTTATTTATTCTCTTTATATATATATATATATAAACGTTTGTTTTACCTTATCTTTTCTTAATATCTTTGTTTAAGCTAAACTATTATTATTATGTTTTCTCCTAATTTAAATTTAACTGACCCAAATCGGCACTTACTCTTCCTACTTTACACCAAATTGACAGGAGCTCCTTTAACGACTTTTATTTGTGTATTTGTTGTTTAAGCACAGAATTTGTGTAACACTGCACTGGTAATTTTCAGAATTTAATGCTTACTATGCTTTTAAGCAGGTCTTATGTAACCATTAGAGCAAGTCAAATTGCAATTTTTTGAGAGCGCTCTGAGAAACAGTTTATATATTTATTTTCTACAGATCTGCCTCGACTTTACTGTTTAGCAGCTGTCTGACTTTCAATAAATGTATATCTATATATTATATCTATATATTTCTAAAATAAAGCTGTCATTTACAACTTATATATATATTTATATATATGTGTTACTTTAAAAACCTTTTATTTATGAACTTTTGGTATTCTGTTCAGACTGATCAGAACAGGATTGCAGAATTTGAATTTTGCGTAACTTCAAACATTAAAATTTAGCACTGCAGTGAACTTTACATATCCGAGTTGCAACTTTTAAAGCTCTTATTTATTTTTCTGGTACCGCATCAGGCCTTCACACTCACACGTCTTGCATTCTGCACTCTCTTAGTGCACAAACATTCACACACTTTCAATCCAGAGCCGTACGCAGCCTCTTGCTGCGCCTCATACACACAGAACTACAGAACTACAGAACTACAGAATCCCGAGCTCCCGGAAACTGTTTTTACAGCCTTTTTTGCTGCAAACTACAACGTACAGGTCGTCCCGAGCTCACGGCGCCTGTTTTTTTTACATACTTTGCCACAAACTCTTATTAAATTTACCACTCCCCGGGGATAGCCGAACACAGGCAAAGGTCATCTCTCACAACTTCAGCGCTTTTTCTTCAAGATCCCCGTCTCTGTTCTACCGAGTCAGCAGACTGGATTAAAGAGTGTCGACCTCTCAGAACCATCAGCTGTTAAAATTCTATTCCAATTTGCTGTCCCACTTTTTAATTTGACACTTAAAATTTGTCCATCATCAAAATGACACAGCTGTTCACACGGTGTGAATATTTTACACCACTGTCAGACATGAATCCCCTCTCCAACTGATATTTATAGTATTATCAGAACAGGAGGACAGCCCCACCCGACCCCTGCCCAGTGACAGAGGCCACAAAAATGAACAAAAACATGCTCACCTGGGCCCTTCGGACCTAAGCCACTGGACAGGAGCCAAGGGACGCTATTGGAACTCCCCTCTGTTCACCCATCTGGGGTGCCAATATGTGGGCATTCTCTGTTATTCTTAAAGAAGGAGTCGGAGACGGGCATCTCAGTCAGACAGCGCGGGTCTCTTTATTCATTCATCTCACAGCTCAGGACAGCCAACTACAAAAGACCTCGGCCAAATGTGGAGTCCTAAATTTATACTTTTTGTCCCTGGGTTACTCCCACAGTCCTTTGATAAAAGTGGAGAGAGGATGGGGTGATGTTTACACTTCTCAATATGGTCGACGCACCCTCCAGCCCAGAGGTCGACGAGCCCTGTTATCCCAATATGATCCGAGGGCTCAAGGTTTACTGGAGCTGGTTTACATAAGTTGGACTGAAACACAGAACACAGCGTTTGGCTCCTACAGTCTCAGAAAGCTTTTAACCTAAGGACTCATAATTCAACTCAATATATGTTGTAGATGACCTCCTGACCTTTTTGGCGACAACACTTCTATCCATCCATCCATCCATCCATCCATCCATCCTTCCGATCAATAAACCATCTAACATCCATCCATCCATTATTTCATTCATCCAACCATTCATCCATCCCATATGAGGTCTGAACATATGTTAATCTATCAGTTTCAGATATCAGCAAATATTTCTAAATTCACACTTCAGCCAACTGTAAAAATGTACCCGTTAAACTATTCTCATTCAAATGCCAGCTTTTTAACATTTCAAATTTCGAGTTTTTAATCAATGTTCAAAGATTAAAGTTTTCTGCTGTTTAGCAATTTTTATCCATTCTTCACCTATATTCTGAGCTTTATTACACTTGTTGGTGATTTTTGCTTCTAAATCTTTAAATTCATTCAGTTCATTTTGACAGTTTAGCTTAGTTTCAGCTTCACTTCCGCTATTCAGCAGCTTCAGCAATCCGTTTCCAAATTTAGTATGAGCTGCTAATTTCACAATTCAGCTAAATGTAAAGATTAGACTGTTAAACTAGTCCTACTGAAATAGCGTGTTTAGACATTTTAGCTGTCCAGTTTTCATACAATGTTCACAGATTTCAGTTTTCTGCTGTTTGGGATTATTTTTCTCTATTATTCACTTTTTGTGCTTTACTTGGTTGGTGCTTTTTGCTTCTACATCTTTCAATAAATTCAGCTCATTTTGACAGTTTTGCTTAGTTTCAGCTTCAGTTCAGCTGTTCAGCAGCTTCAACTTACAGTTTCAGCAATCCAGCATTCAAACAGCATTTCTGCAAGAAATGCTAATTTTTCTAGTTAATTGGATTACTCCGTTACCCCAAAAAAGAAAGCTGTTCGTAACGCCATTATTTTAAACTGCGTTATTCCCATCACTGGTTGGAAGTTTTGAAATGGCTTTATTAAAGCTTTGCCAACTCTTCATATTTTCTTTTCATTCCACTTTGTTTTACCAGCAACTGTTCCAACTTTACAAATGCCAGTTGTTAGGCAACATTTGCCAATATAATTTCCTATTGAGTAATAACCAATCTGCGTGGGTTAATCTAAAGTCCCACACAGCGACTCCACCAGGCCTTTCCGAGTACATACCCTGGCCTAGATACTCTATTGGTTCCTGAAATGGGCTGGGCACTGGTATTTTTGAGCCAGCCCAGTGAAATGGAGACATACATGCTGCAAATGTCCAGTAAAATTATCTGGAATTTCTGACATACACACACACACACACACACACACACACACAAACACACACACACACACACACACACACCTAAAAAAATCCATTTATGTTTAAAGGTGTGATTCACTCATTTATTTATTTTATTTACAGTATGAAAGCCTTGTAAGTCTCCTGTAAGTACGCTGGAGAGAAAATAGTATCAGTGCACCATTTTTAGAGACTAGAAGTGAGCCACATCAGAGCTGAGCTGATCCCTGGAGAATCTGGACATCTCGCCTTGGAATGGATAACAGCAACCACCAACTCAGTTTAGTTTGCAACGTTGAGGTCTTATCTTCAAACTCAGACCTGGAGGACTTCTGCTGTGTGGTGGAGTTGTTAATGCTAACGGTTAGCTTCTATTAGCTCTGCTGTTTTCTGGACACTAAACCAACAACAACCTTCCCCGTTGTGAGTCAAGATGGGTGAGTCCATGAATGTTAAGTGACATAGTGACGTAGATCTGTCAGGATTTTCTAATCCTAGAGTTTCACCGTCTGTTTTCTATCAGAAGCTACTGCAGGAGATAGGTGTAGGAGACTATTTTCATGTTCAGCCTGCATGAAACACTCAGGCTAACAGATTATAATCAGAAATAAGATTTAAAGAAGTTGTAACCCCCCCCCCCCCCCCTCTCAGAGTCTTACTCCACCCACGTATCAATTTTAAAAACTGCAACATTAGTAGGCATTGCCTGGAGGACCGAGAGGGCGAAGCCGCGGCAGTGACGAAGACGATGGCTAACTAGACGATGCTAGCTCCCTTCACTCTGAGCAGTCATTAGAAGTGGAGGACGTTTCTCCCCCTCCTTACACAGACACTCGAGAAGAAAGGGACCAAGTCTATTTGGAGGAGACAAGCGGACCTGAGCCTTATTGTTTTGAGCTTGTGAGTTGCCTGAAACTACAGGAACCGACCCAACAGAACCAGCTCTGAATGGTAAGTAGCCATTAGCCATAGCATCAGATTAGCTGCAGGGTTTGTCTCCACGGCCCTAGAGCTAGTATTCAGCATGTGTTAGAGGTTTATCTGCTTCAACACACCTGGTTTTAATCAGCAACAAATAGCTGAGCTGCTTAACAGCTAATCTAACCTGTTAAAGCAGGAAAATCCACTGAAACGCGCTGGATAGCAGGTCTCCAGGAGCCCTGGGCTCAAGTTACAGTCTGCTGCATAGAAAGTTATGAAAATACCCCATGAGAAAATTATTCTGTAATGTGCTCAGCCCACTAAAACTGCCCTGATTTCTTTATTTATTTACTAATAACAGCTGCTCTCTCGGTTCTAGGTCCTCTGGTGTCTGCAGGTGGTCTCCTCTGCTGGTGTCGTCAGGATCAGGAGCTTCCAGAAGAATGTGCCTTTCAATGACTCTTTCCCCCTTATTTGTTATATTAATTAAATAAATCTCAATTGATATATTTCCTATTTTTGTTCATGTCCATTAATGCTTAAACATGCTTGAAATTAAAACGAGCTTTTAACAGTGAGGTGCTAGTTTAATTCATCACAATAGAGCTAGTTAAACATGCGACAATGTGATAATTGAATTAATGTAATTTATAAATATCCATTAAAATATCAAAACTGGAATCACAATGAGACATTTGGCAGCACAAAAAACTTGTCAAACACTATTTATTATAATAATTGTAGGCAGACAGGAGACAGAGCTGATGGAGGTTCTCAGTCATCGAAGGATGGCTGAAGGCTTCCCAGGAACAGGAGATGTGGTGTTGTCTCTTCTCTCTCTATTCTGCCAGATGAGCTGATAGGTTACAGGTATGTGAGGACATCCTCATGCTGTCACAACCAGATGACAGTAGTTATCAGGTGATCAGCCAGGCTAATGATGAGATGAAGAAAGAAAACAAATCCAGGACAGTGTACAGTAATATGTGGTGTTGCTCACCTTATGTGCTCTTATAAGTATTAACGTGTGCCTGCCTCATGGTGTAGAGTCCATATTTTGCTGAGTGTCCTGCAATAATGCAGGTTATTAGTTAATTTACATTTGATAGCAAAAACAAAATATTTAATGTAAAAGTTATCTACCAGGTGAATCAGCTCAAACGTCACCACCAAGTGTCACAGGGCCAGAATCAGTAGCCTCCTTCATGATGTCATGATGTAATCACATACTTATTTAATTGTTAATATCTTAAAAATTCTGAAATGTTTTAATTTTTTTACCTTGAACAGTTCACCGAGCTTGCACTGTCACTGAGGTGGAAGCTGGAATCTACAGCAGACACCTCACATCGTCAGGGGTGTGGACGCTGCTCTGACTTTCTGGAAGATGAATTTCCGTCATGGTCCCTGTGTCACCAGACACACAGCGGCTGTGAGCTCTTCTGGCTGGCTATGTACAAAAACAAAGAAGCAGCACATTTATAAATGTTTAAAAGAGCATAAAATCACGTGCAACAATAATCTGTAAAACAAATTAAAACTAGAAGGTAATAATAAAATGTTTACATAGAAGATTATTAAAAATAATTCACCTTTGCTACAGGTAAGGCTTCACGTCTGCCTGGACAAGTGCAGTCTTGCAGCTAAATCAGTCTGACAGCCAGTGTCTTGGGTAGATTTAGCCTGAAAAAAAAATAGAAGCACATTGTTGTTGGAGTTTATAAAGTCAGATAATATACAAAAGAAACTCCTATATAGGCGCTTTATAACATTCCTAGTGTGTGATCGTTGTTAAAACGTAAAAGTCAGTCAGTCACATATGAAGTGGAGAGCCTGAAATGCGACCTCCTGAACAGAATTCCTCACAAAACCGGGTCACAAGCTGGATTTCACGCTGTAATGCTGTCTGTCAACTAGTGCTGCGTTAGTTAGAGACACTGTTGCAGAATTACCGACTGACTAGCTAAATGAAGTGAAC